CGTGGAGTAAGGCCACTGCCGGACGCACGGCTCGTTGCAGCTGTCAGCGAGGGGCTGGGGGCGGTAGACGCCGCAGGCAGAGGTGGAGCACAGGTCGTAGCAAGACATCTCACAAGGATGGAGGTAAGCTGCAACACACAGACTAAGTAGAAGGTAAAGACTTCAAAATTCAACAGTTTACGTTAAGATATGAGTCATGTACAGGATTTTGAGTAAATAAAGTTATTTCCTGCTTTACAATCATAATCCTCCCTTTTCAAAAAGTAGATTTTTGAAAATTCCCTAGAAATGACTACATGTACAAAAGCATATAGGAAATGTTATGCCTAGCTCTGAAAGTCACTCACAAATATCCTGTAAAGAACTTTAGATGTATTTCTACACGTTAAACTGAAAACTGAGAAGCAAAGGCACGGACAGAGAAGTGACTTTGTCCAAGGTCATTTGATGAGTCAGTAGGAAAACTTGGATTTGGGTTCAGTTTTTTGCAGGTTTACATGAGATGTAGTTTATATATAACTTAATTACAGTAGCTTCTTCTTCCCACTCATTCCAATTTTGCTGAGAGTTGTAGGAACAACAGATTATAGGATTGTGACTGCCCAGATTGCTCAGAAAGCCATTTGACAAGACAATAAAAGGACAGATGGCAGATTTATTACCCCAGTTCCCACCTATGCAGCCACTGTATGGATACAGACTGGACAATTTCAATATAAATAGTGGTTTAATCCCTAATGTCTTTCAAAAAACTTATTTCAAATTCTTATTCCCAGGAAAAACCATGAACCTTTGGTAAACTCAAGCATTCAGCCTATATTGTCCCCTCTAAACTTAGTTATTTTCTCCAAGAGTGAGTTTACTCTTCTCCATTCACCAAGTCCTGCAAGTCCTTAGCAGGGTTCTGAGAAAGAATATGAAAGCAAGGAAGTAAAGGACAGCCAGAAGATTTGCTGTAGCAGGACAACACACACAACTTTCTCATATGCATCACTCATTCATCTCAGGTTGCATGAATGGCTGCAGTGATGACGCCCTTGTTAAACATTGAAACTCATATGCAAACTTTAAATTGAAGTAAGAATCAGAATCATAGAATATCTCAACTTGGAAAGGACCCATAAGGATCATTGAGTCCAACTCCCTGCTCCTTGTGGGACTACCTAAGATTAAACCAGATGACTAAGAGCATCATCCAGTCACTCCAGGGTCCAGTGTTTCTGACACTGAGAACTCCACAGGGCCCCAAACACCAAATAGGTGTATCCGCCACCCCAGAGCCAGCGTTAGAGTCTCTGTCCCAAAACAATGCAGGTTCGCTCAACAGTATGGATGGTGGACATCAACAGAAGTCAAAACCAGCAATAGACAGATACATTGACAACAATAGAGAAGACTCAGACTTACCCAAGTCACCAAGAAGTCAAGGGAAGTGTTTGGAAGAGCTGTGAGAGAGAAGAGCTTTTATATCAGAGCAGCTGGACGTACAAGACCGACACTGGTTGCCCGCCCCAATTCCAAACACATGTAACCCGTTGAGATGATGAAATCGCTGTGTCTGTTATTGGAGTTTACGAGTCCTCTCAAATTTGTTTGTAGTAAGCACCTAAACATTACTTTAGATTATAAGAGAATTCTTTCATCTTGTGACGACTTGGGGAAAATTAATACCTGGCATTATTCCAGTCACTTCCTTGAAATGACAACAAAATTATTAAGCCAGCTCCTCTTGTATTCATTTAACACCTGGAGAGTGTCTCATGGGTTTATCAGAATTACAAACTGCTGTCAGAACAGGATTTCTGATTAAGTACATGCAATTCACATTACAGCCTGGCAGGACAGAAGTTAAAGACTGTTGATGTGACATGCAGGAAGGGTGGGGGCAGTTTCTGTATGTTTAGCTTCCCCACCTGTATTTGGGGGACACAGCACCCTTGGGAGTCAATGAGGTTTTCCAGTTGTATTAATGGGGACAATTAATCTCAGAAGACCAGCAGCAAATCCAGGGACCTGTGCTTCTGTCTCTAAATAGGGCTTATGTGGAAATTGAAACCTAACCTTGAGTAGAAAAAATTGTGGAATGCTTCGTTTTGGAGTGCTGGGAACACTTTTTGTGCAGATATGAGCCGAATCAGTTTCTCCATCCATCAGTCACTCAAAGAGCTGTATTCTCTTAAAAAAAAATATGTAAGGCTAAGTCTCCAGAATTTCACATAGGAGATGGAGAGGAAGCCTTTATCTTCCTGAGGCTTGCTGTTGTGTTTTAAGAGATAAACAAGGAATGAGTTTCTGAAGGTAACTGAAGCTACGAAGAACTGGAGATCCCAAAGAGACTTTTTCCAGATATTGTTGGTTCTATGTCAGTACAAAGATGGTACTTGAGAATATTTAATAAGCCTAAGGAAACCTAAGCTTTTTCAGTACAAATGGATCCTCTGGTGCAAAAATTGAAATGTGACAGAAATGCTTTGAATTATTGACTTTGACTGTCAGGAATTCATGACCTCCTGTAATACACTACTGTTGCTGCAAGCCATAAGTCCAGAACAGGGCTGAGCTGGCAGTTTCTGGAATGCATCACGCAAAACAAAGGCTGGTTCTTCCCTTGTTTACAGATGTGTTATTTTAATACTGCATAATCTATTCCATAGATTATTTCTAAATTATGAGGTGGGTTTCTCATCCTTTGAGGTGGTTAGAAGTTTTTTTGGACAGTAACATTTTCAAGCTTCCAGGGAGCAAGTCTTTTCAAATACCACAAACTATCCACTAATGTTTTGAGAATGCATTTTTCAGTTAGATTAAAGGCATGTACCTGGATTTTGACGCCTAGCAATTATTGAATGACATCACATTAAAATACAGAAGTCAAGGTATTCATGTCCTTGGTATAATCAGTTCATGCCTAAATACTGAGGATTTGTGCTTCTTCAGGTTTTTTTCAATGCAGAAATAAAGAAATACAAACTTTTAGATAAATACAGCATTTCATAAGCTGTATAATCAGTGTATCTTTATCATTTTCAGTTGCCTGCCAGCCTACAGAAACAGAGGATTTAACTGTTTTCTTGAGATGTTACAATTCTGTCAACGGTCACCCTTTATCCCTGTAAATTATTTCTCTGTCTCTATCGTGGCCTATCTCCAGATGGATTTAGCAAGTTGCCACTGGTCATGTTTCATTTAATTTCGATTCTCAGTAGTCTTAAGTATTGTCTGATCTGAAGATGCACCTAAAAACGGATCCCTGAAGGCTTTGTGTCAGACGACCAAAAACTGGAAAATGTGTGTGATGAATGCTTCACAAAGAAAGTGCCTTGCAATCTTGAGAACAGAAAGGTAAGTATTAGTTTGCCTCTAGACTTCAACCTGGGTTGAAATACAGCGAGAGAGACCTGTTGGAAAAATCTGAGTAGTTTAAAAGGATGTTCTATCTCTGCCTTCTGCTCAAACTGGTCTGGAGGACTTGCCAGTGTTTGAGAGAAGGACAGAGAGAGTAATCCACGACTGAAAACACGACAAAGAAAGCAAGAGATCTTTCCCCAAGTCCCTCGCTTGTTAGATGAGGCAAGCATTGTGTTCGGGAGCAAAGACAAACAATAGAAAAGCATTTAAGGACGGCAGGATGTTTGCTTCCTTTGGGTGCAGTATTGGTCTCACGTTAAGCAGCTGAGAGATAAAGATAAAAATGAGGACCCCAAAATTGCCCTAATGGAACTCCATTTTATCTCCAGCTATCTTACAACCTGGATTTAATGGAAAAATCTGTGCGCGTCAGGTGACCACAGCCGTGCAGTGAGCAACCGGATTTTGCTGTTAATAATGGAGAAGCTAAGGAAGAGAGTTAGTATAATTCTTGTTGTAACGCCGAGGATGCGAATGGAACGATAACAGGAATGAATATGACTTGTAACCATTTCAGATGAAAGAGGCTTCTGTGATGAAATGCACCTATCATATTTCACGAGACTTTGAATCAACAAATAGTCAGCAAAACTTTGAGGACCTGCGTGTCATATTAGTTTGGGGTTTGCCCCAATTATGCACATGCACAAATTGCACCTTAGGTGATCCCCATGATCCAAGGAACTGTATAAAAGCTCTCACAACTCAGGGCTCTTCATTCCACCTTACTTGCTTTATTCACCTCTGTGAAAAGGGTAAGTATTGTTCTATGTGATCTCTTTCCTAAAATTCAAGTATCTGTTTTCTGCCAGTTTAATTAAGCTCAGAATCAGCCATAAGTACTCTAAGGTTCCTAATAATATTGGATTATTTTGCCATGAATTTATTTTTCTTATTTGGTGTTGGACATCCATGTATTTGGGTTTAAAATGGTAAAACTAGGTTTTGCAAAAATTGGTACCTGTTAATACAAACTTAAGCCGTCAAAGCAGCTTCCAAAACACAAGCAGAAGGCTTGTTCGATCACTAGGAATTTTTTAAGGATTTTGCATGTAATTTTTTGGCATGTATCTTTGTATATGTATGCATTTGTTGAGGGGGCAAGCTTAACCAGAAAGAATATAGAAGTATTTTCTAAAGAATTATTGGAAAACAGAGATGAAATTAGGAAATCCTAACCTATCCTTTACATTGTCCTTGCTTTGAGCGGGGAGCTGGACTAGATGACCTCCAGAAGTAATCTTTCCACCCACCCTGTGACTCTCAAGCTACTTTGCAAGCGCTTCAGGGCAGGGAATGCCTTATTTAATCCACGTTTATAGCAGGTTCAGTTTACCGGCGGCTAGAAGCATGTTACGAGTCAATATGCCAGAGTTGTTCTTCCAGCTACCCATTAATTTACCACATGAGTTTTGCTGGTTGTCAGGTTACACTGCTTTGTTTTTGCTAGTGTAAAACAAACATGAAATGAACTTTCAGACACAGACATTGTAAGAGTGGCTGCAAAGTATAGTCGAAGTAATTTGCAAAATGAAGTGCTGGATAATATTTTTGCCGTGTTTGGCAGTGTGATAGAACAAAGAACTACATTTTAGAGGGAACCAAGTATAAGAAATTAGGAGCGAGACCATGGAAGAGATAACTCATTAGTGTGCAATCTGAGCAATGCTCATTTACAAGAAGGAGAAATGTCTCATGAAAAATACTGAAGAGAAGGAAGGACAACCAAGACCTGAAATGTAAAGCCATTGTTCAAATCGATATGTCCAACTTTCAAAGTCTTTTTCCCATTGAATTTGTGTCTTTCATTTCCTCATCTATGTGTGTGTTGCAGCTTACCTCCATCCTTGTGAGATGTCTTGCTACGACCTGTGCTCCACCTCTGCCTGCGGCGTCTACCGCCCCCAGCCCCTCGCTGACAGCTGCAACGAGCCGTGCGTCCGGCAGTGCCCTGACTCCACGACTGTGATCCAGCCGCCCCCCGTTGTCGTCACCTTCCCTGGCCCCATCCTCAGCTCCTTCCCCCAGGATTCGGTGGTGGGATCCTCTGGAGCCCCCGCCCTTGGGGGCTATGGGGGGTCAGGCTCCCGCGGCG